TCAGGTATTTCAAACAAATTTTCGGCCTTAAGTAAACCAAGATCCCCACCCCTGTTGCCTGAATGACATAACAGAGAAAACTAAGACAAGTCACGCGCAAATAAAAACTGTGATATAGGGTCTTTTTCCACGGACACTTTGTAGGATAAATATCTACATAGTTTTCCTAACTTGTCGAACATTAAAGGAGTCGCTTGTTTTCTTGTAATATTAGAATTAGATTGCTCCAAAGACACTGCTTGAATATGTTGCTTCAAGATATGAGATGAAGCCGGGTTGCCACTGTAAAGCATTGGGTTCCATTCTCCAGCTCTTCCAATATCTCGAAAAATTGCTCTTATTTTCCCTAACAAACTGTCTACCCACTTTACCGTGAGAGTTTTGGGACAACTGCAGTTTTTAAGACCATGTTCTGTACGATATACGCAATTATCCTCGTGCAGTTGTGTTCTGCCATTTTTTTCTTTGAACACTAAGAATTTCCTGATATCTTCAGGAACGGCGTTGGAAAGATTTTTCAGAGGTTCCAAAGTAACGAAAAATTTCTCTAATTCGGTTTTTAAACTGCATTTCTGTTTGGAATAACTCCCCGATTTTAATAAATTGTCAAGTTTGTCAATTCGTTTTTCAATTTTATGCAACAGTTGATCCCTTTCTTTCGAACATTCGTCTAAACATTCTAATGACTTATTTCTCGGAGAACCACATATTTTACAAAAAATATAGTCTACATCGTTTGCTGTTGCACATCCTTTGCATAACATGTATGGACGTAAAATATTTGCAATATTAAAACCCTACAACAAAATAAAAAAAAAAAATGACAACTATATAAATTTACAAAAATGTTAACTAAACATACATATTTACACTTTGGTAGAGAAAAACAAACAAACGCTAGTCATGTCACTGTCCCTACATTCCTACTTGGGATACACATTTTAACATACTATATAAATTGTTTGTCAATATACGTTGGCCATCCTCATTCAAATGCACATTATCCCTTAAATGTGAACTGTTAATATTTACATTGTCCATGAATAACCACTTATGTTCTCTGCATGCTTGTTTCATTTTTGCATTAAATCTCTCCGATCTTATATTTATATAATCGTCCTTAGTGATAATTATTGATGACAAAATTACTTTTACATGCGTAAATTGCTTACAAATGTTTTCTAACAACAATGTTAAAGATTCAAGCTCATGATGTGCTACAGATAATTGGTGAAATTCATTCAAATACAAATAACATTTACTCAAATTATTCACACCGGCATGCACAAAAATAGTTTGTGGTGGATACCTATCGACCATCTTTTGAATATTGTATTGTACATTGCGAATAAGGCCTCCACCTTCTGAATAAACATGTACCATAGGGTTCCTAAATTTCTCATCTGATAAAAGAAATCTGATCATTGAATCACCGACACAGAGAAAATGAAAATTTGATGTAATCGTAGGGTTATTCAGAAAAAGCATTTTCCCATAAGATGAACCGGAAATAAAGTTCTGCACCCTAACCGCCCATAAATTCCATGGTAAACCATATCTATCAGACACATAGCCCTTTTTCGTTGGGTACTTTAACACATCTTTTTGACCTTTGAGGCCTAGAACAAACGCGTCACTAATAAAATTGACAAAATTAGGCAGCCATAAAGGAGTAGTATTCTCCGCTCTTATCACAATCGTATAACTACAACTGCTTTCTTTCAAGAAAGTCATAACTGGTAGAACGAGATTGAAAGGTGGAAACACGTAACAGTTTTCCTGTTTGTTAATCTCTTGTGTGAAAACATTTATACCCGAGGACAAAGGAGATTGAAAAGGTGTAAAATGTTTTAAAATATTTCCTTTTTTGTCTTTCATGCTATTTGAGTCCAAAGCCATGAGATCTAAAGTATGTCCAGAATTTCCTCCGAAATGCTCTTGAATAGTCTGCCATATTGCTTTCGTAATTGTTGCGTCACACTTTGTTAAAGAACGTGAAGGTGCGTCAGCGAGATTTTGTTTTGACGGTATATAGTACAGGTTCAAAATAATGTCAGAATCAATAGTAAATTTGAAAATATCTTTTATTACAGAATTCAATTGAGATGACCTTGACCCCTCGTTGTCCCACGCATATATCAAAGCTTTGTTGTCGACATTTGCATCTATTCGAAACCCCTTAATTTTGTCTCTGAATGACTTCAAAACATTTAATAACGCATATGCTTCTAGAATCATAATTGGCAGAGAAAGCATTTCTGCCACCCACGAATCACCTACAGTATGTTTGATGTCATTAATTTCGAAGACACCACCCCATTTGAAGGTGGATGCATCTGTAAAAATAGTCACTGATAAATGTCTCTCCCTTTTCCACTCTAATTTACCTTCCCATTCATCAAGAAAACGCCATGACGTAATTTCATCCTTGAGATCTCCATTCAATGTTATGCCTGATTTCGACTTTATACCAAAAGAAATCGCGCTATTCATTTCGCGGGTATACAGCTTTGCGGCAGGGACTGCTAGCATGAAAGAAATACACCTGCCTGATAGTTTTTGTAAATCTAAAACGGATAGCTCGGACTTCGCGAGACAAGCCTCTCTGAAACCTACAAACTTTTTCTTTTTACTTTCAGTTAACCTGAAGCAACGCTCTACAGAGTCTACATTAAACCCTAAAAAAACTGGTGATTGTGTTGGTACAAATATAGTCTTTGTTAGATTTAAACAGTATCCGAGCCTGTTTAATATTTCACACACAATGTAATTTGCTAACAAAGCGCTTGGTATACCGGGTTCTATCCCTTCACTTCGAACTTCCTCTACCAGTCTGTCGTCAATGTACAGAAATATCGGTATAGAAAAATGTTTCCGTATATAAGAAGTAGGTTGCATATTCAAAGTATGGTATATGTAACTTGACAATTTAAATCCAAAAGGTAGGGTCTTACACCGATAATAATATCCTCCCCACTGAAAACCGACAAGATTGAAAGACTCTTCTGATAACCGAACATTATCAAACCCAGATTTATCGTCTATTGATGTGAAATAAGCACCTGTTTTAACTATCCTGGGAATATCTTTTAAAGTATCTAAGTTGAATGGTACACTTTTGATCCAATTATTGAGATACATAAGGTTCACACAAAGTCGAGGTTTTGTAGGTTCTACTGTTAAAGGGGCTACTATATGCGGTGGTTGTACTAGACCCACTTTCCCTAGGCATTCAAGTGATCCATTTCGTAATCTCTCTGTGATCGTCTTAGTTATAAAATCAATAAAAGGAACACAACTGTTCGAATTGTTAAACATTCTCGGTGGAGGAAATTCGTGGTCATACTTTTCTCCCCAAAATTTCCCTTTGAAAGACGTAATGTATTTATGTATGTTTACCCCGTTTTCTATCCAATCTAAGACTTCCTTAGGTTGCGACGAATTACATATAATATGCTTCCATTGGTCTACACGCGTATGAATTTGTCCTGCCTTAAAAGAATTTGGATTTAAAAAGACTAAGTTATCAGTCGACGGAACCTGACCTTGTATCAATGATGCACTAAATGATTTTTCCGCCGAATCGGGCTTAATTTGTAACTCCTTTTCACTTAAAAGTTTCCCCTCTAAATTGACATATGATGCTAATCTAACAAATTCATTGGTCGGGTCGCTATCAAAAATCACATTTTTTTCCCATGGTTTCATTCGAAAGTTTTCCTGAAATTATATATATAACTTGCATCAGAATTTAGTTATATGAGGTAATATATTTTTTATGTACAATGCATGCCAACATCTAATGAGCAACATCAACGAAAAACTTAACGATAAGAGTTCAATAACTAGTTCTGGGGTGGAGGGATAAGGCAATCCCTAGCCATATGACCAGGTTTATTACATCGATAGCATATCAATGGGGTGCGGGGTCTTGACCTTCGTGGTTGTTGAGAAAAACGTGGAGGTGAAGGTCCTTGTGGATAACTAAAACGATTGTACCCATAATTATAAGGCATGGGCTGAAACATGCCATACCCTTGTGTATTTACATCCTCATTGTTTTTTGTCATTCCGAAATTTTTCATTAACTTTTGTTCCTTGTCTAAAATGCTTTCTTCTTCTCTGTTGCAGACTAATTTCAACACAAGTGCTGCAGCAAAAGATGGGTTTGACTTATGAGAATTAAATCGGTTTAAAATTAGGTTTATTTTGTCTTTAATATCACTGTTTTGCTTTCTAGCTAAACTTTCAAGAATTACAAGTCTCTCGTGCAAAACGTCAATATCAACCTTTGGTCCCTTGGATGCCTCTTCTTTCACGTCTCGCTTGGCTCTTGCTAAATCCGATTCGTCATCGGCTGTTTTCTTTTCTTCCAACTTCTTCTCCATCTTATCTATTTTGTCCTCCAGGGCTTTCATCTGTTTGGGAAGATATCACATATAATAACACCCATTGTCTATCTTTGTACAACCACAGTTCTATACCAATTAAAATGCATGCATACCTGCAGTGTTTGTTGACACTGATTGTTACGGTTAATATAACTTCTTAAGATACTCTCTACTATTAAATAATACACATGTTGTTAATCACTGTAGTGTGGATAATTAATCCTGTCCAGCTTTTCTTACAGCTGCCAACTGTGACTTTATCTGAACTTTTATCATACACAAATAAATTTGATAAGAGAAAATCTCAAGGAAATAACTTATTACCGGTTGCATAACCGCCTCTCAAATTATAATCCCTTATGTCAAAATATTACCATAATTTTCCAGGGTTGGAATGAAATATAAGCATTTTTATACTTTTCATATTAACTTGCACAAATCCTTTCTATGTTATGCTCCTCCAACCACAATTTATAGATAAAAATATTTAAATTCAGTTAGATAATGAAGACGACAATGCACATACAATGCCTTCTTAGTAACAAAGGCAGCCTGTCATCTTCATTTATTTAATAAAATTAGCATAATTATGTAATGCGTGATTATAACTTTTTTTTTTTTTTTTTTTTTTATTTGGGAGTAAAACTTATGTGACCACAATTAAATCTTACGCTGGTTACTGTATCTCAAATGGAGGTATGCATACTACAAGACTAATTTAAGAAACTTTTTTTTTTTTTTTTTCTTTTTTTCTTCTTTTTTTTTTTTTTTTTTTTATAAAAACCTACTAACTGATTTCTATTTACTAACGACCCATTTCGTACCTCTTATTCTTTTAACTTTATTTCTTTCTTTCATTCAAAAGTATTATAACTTTTAATATATCCTCTTCATCTTCTTTTATTTCCATTTTCCTACAAATGACCCTTTAATTGCAAGTAATACTCCCCTGTGAGCCTTATTTTTCAACGAATTTAACAAAACTTATTCCGTATAGTTCTTCCACAACATCTTCTTCCTCTTACTATAATATTCATTAAAATTTTACATTTATGTCTTATGATCTCATTCCTAAATAAGTCTCACATATTACGACAGACCTTTCTCTAGCGTATCTTTTCTTTTTACAAATTGGATTATTTCATACTCGTTTATACATATGTGGTATAATTGCTAATGAGACAACTCTTCACAAGACCAAATAACGAAGAAATTATCATCTATATACCACCGTACTGTTTTCAACAATGAACAAAGATTAAAACATTTCATTTTCTTCTCTCTTTCAAATTGCATGAAAAACTAACAATTAAACAAACTTAAATTTTAAACATTAACCAACTTTGTCTATCTTCATATTTCTTTCGATAAACGTTAAAATTTCTTTTCACACCCTTCTATTTACCATACTTTTCTAAACCATTTTTTTTTTCTTTCTTTCTAAATTGCTGACAGTTAACCCTTTTTTTTTTTTTTTTTTTTTTTTTTTTTTTTTTTTTTTTCTCATTTCCTATATACATGATATATATTTTCCGTCTCTATTAACATAACTGTTTTCTCTTGCTAACCTTGTCTGTACCTTTAATTCATCCTTTAACCGCAGACAATTTATAATTATCTCGTTTATTTCATATAATTTCTCTCTTGAAGCATCAAAACTAATCTTAAATATTCCAAATACTTTTCTTCACATTTCTTTTCTTTAACATTAATATATATTTTTCTCTCTCAAAACTATCGATCATGCATGGACGACCCTTCATTAATCATTTTCAAATTAACCACATATTTTTTCACTTAAACGTAAAATCCTCTTTTCACAGTATTTTAGTTACCAATCTTGTATCCCAATTTTTTCCATTTGTTTTTCTTATCTATTGCCTCATTTTGTCTTTTCCTAATTTACTTCATTTTAACATAATTATGACTAAATTTTCTTGTTTCCTATATAATTTTCCTTCTTTAATAACATATCTGTTTTCTCTAGATAACTACATCCACATCTTGTTTAACCTCAGACATTTCATAATTATCTCATGTATTTTTTATTTATTTTATTTTTCTCTCTCTTGAATCATCAATAAAAATTTCTAATACACATTTCTCTCTTTTAGGCAGTTCGTTTCTTTCTTCTTTTTTTTTTGTATGCTAAAACTTAAAATCCTCTTTTCATCATTCTTAAACCTTTTATTTTTTCTCTCCTTTTTAATTATTTTTTTTTTCTCTCTTGCATCATCAATAAAAATCTTAAATATTTCGAGGAAAACTTTTCTTTACATGTCTCTCTTTCAGACATTTCATTTCTTTTCTTCTTTTTTATATGCTAAAACTTAAAATCCTCTTTTCATCATTCTTAAAGACTTTTTTTTTTTTTTTTTTTTCCTTTTTAATTATTTTTCTCTCTCTTGAATCATCAATAAAAATCTTAAATATTTCGAGGAAAACTTTTCTTCACATGTCTCTCTTTTAGACAGTTCATTTCTTTTCTTCTTCTTTTTTTTTTTTTTTTTATATGCTAAAACTTAAAATCCTCTTTTCATCATTCTTAAAGACTTTTTTTTTTTTTCTCTCTCCTTTTTTTTTTCTTTCTTTCTTAATTGCAACCTTTTAACAAAACTAAAACTAATTTTACTCATTTCATATATATTTTCCCTTCTTTATTAACAAACCGTTTTCCCTGGATAACCACATCTATACCTGTAATTCTTCTTTTAACCACAGACGATTTATAATTATCTCATGCATTTTTTCCTTCCTTTTTCTCTTGAATCATTAATAATATGTCTTTCCTTATGAATAGTAATATACACTTTTAATCTTTGTAAGAAATTCTTTAAATCATTTCCCGGTGATGTGCTAATTTGATCGTTAATAATCTAAGCCTTTTAATATATTAATACATTTTTTCTAATGTAACCGCATTGTCATTTATCCCATAGATCTGAACGTAATAATTATTTACAGCACTGAACAAATCTATAAATAATATATTCTTCTATTCACCTAAAAAATTTCATTTAAATAACCTCATTCAATTTTGAATGTGTACTTAAGGTAAATAACGCCAAAATTAATTTACGTTAACCAAAACCATTTATAACACGAGACTCTTTTCGCATACACTTTAACCAAATACACGATTCTGTTTAATGCCCGGATCAAATGAAATATGAGCATTTAACTTCTAATACCATAACAAAATTCCTCTTGTTTAGCAAGAAAACTTTTTTTTACTGATTAAACTGTTCTTACCCCAGTTGTATCATTTGCCTTTTTCTTTTTTTTTAGGTGGCTCCGGACGTGTAGATGGCCCAGCCTCCTCATCATCTTTTCCCTCCTGAATCATGTCACCACACTGTAGTGCAAAATGCACCAGTTTGCAAATGTTTTCCCTGGAATCCTGGATTCCACCCAACAGCATAATTTCCTCCAGTTTGACACCTTTTGAATTTGCGATGTCGAACAGTTCTAGTTTGCTGAATGTTGGCAAACACTTCCCTTCATACTCCTCCATTTCAGGATCTTCTTCTTCCCGAAATTTCCTTAAAACTTTTACAATATCCATTTTGCGTGTGATTAGGACCGCAAACTCCAATCAACTGACCAGAACACAAGATGACCGCGTTATCTTTATATTCGAGGCACCCAAGGGTGAACTTGTAATAGTACAAACGCTACATTTGTTTCTAACTTCAACCTGATTAAACGATGTATTTGTTTCTACGTTTGCAAAAAGTCTGTTTACCAACAACATGTGCATGCATTATTGGAAGTTCAAACAGGGTCAGTAAACACTGATTTAACGACGTATTTGTTTCTACTTTTATAGCGTTTAGAAAACAACAACAAACGCCACACAACGTTTATAAAATTTTGGTTAGAAAGAAATGCCCTCTTTATCCGGCTGTAGGTTTTTGTTTGAAAAGGTTTTTAAAAGATCTCTTTGTTTTTTTTTTTTTTTTCATTGTTTTTCTTTTGACCTTGGTGTTGAAGCATGACCTTTTTTGTTTTTGATTATACTCCAGATTTCACCCTTGGTATCGTCTGCAATAGTTTCTACCATTGCTATAATGTTTTAAGTCATTGACATATATATTATTAATCACAAAAGTGAAATTGGAATTATTTTTGTTGAAGCTAAACAATTTTAAAACTGCAAGTCATAATTTTTTAAACTATATTTTTATGGGTAGTCTTTACACGGATTTATTTTTTTCCTTCACATTTTTTTTTAAATCTTTATATAATGCCATCTTCCCCATAGTCGTTTCAACGATCTATTAACATTAAATCTTTGATTAAGAATTTAATAAAATTCGATCAAATTTAAATGTCTATCTCAATCCCCTAACTTTAAAATATACCAAAAACAAATCATGCAAAAATGTACAATATGCAATTGTTCAATTTTAGAAAGAAATACGTTACTTGTATGAACACGAGGACGAAGTTCGCATTTAAATCTAACATATTCATTTAAATTTTGTTTTACAAAATGGATAGATGGGCTGAATAGTAGAATATAGGGAAGTAATTTGATAGGTATGGTTTTATAACTTTTTAAGTCCTAGGAGTAAGGTTGTTTTTACGTTTATGCAAAATGCTTACAGGACTAGAAAGCCTATGAGATCATGTTTTCTTAGCAGGTAAGTTTGTATTGAGGCTATATCCTTTTCAATAATCAATGATTTCGATATTTTAAATTCAATTTTAATGAAAACTGTAGGTGTACCAATAAGTTGTAAAGAGATTAAGATATAACGAGAGGTAGCGTGATTTTAAAGGGGAACTGCATGTTACGTAGCATGTTTTTTCTAACTCTGGTTTTAGTAGAGTAAATAGTGGTCTTTTTATGATCTGAGGCCAATTACAAAGAAATATGGTGAAAAATCAATAAGATTTAAAAGGGATATTTTAAACTTTATATTATCATATGGATGTCCTTAATTATTATTTTGATTAAAATAAAACAGCATACATATACTGTTACTTATGTGTACACGTAATTTGCTAGATGACAATTTTCGAAAATCAATTTTATATTAGATTTTAAAATTGACGCAAAAGTGTAATAATGCTTAGTATCTTATGAATTTTGTGTGTAATTTTTGCCATGCTGGCTGGTAGTTTTTTTGACATTCGACTTCGAAATTTCAACCGCATCGGTAATGTTCACTATAGTTATGTAAATGTAACGTTATGTATTAAATTGTACTTCTGTAATGTTATACACAGACCTTTAACTTAGCCTACCAGTTATAAAATACCTTCAACATTTAAAAGCTATTGCGGATGTGTATGATCGTATCTCAACCCTTCTTTAGGATAATTATTACAAAAATAAGGATTGCCAATAAGACAACTAACTATCCACAAAGACCACAGGACGAGGATCTAAACAATAACAATACAATATACTTTATTTTGAAACACTCAGACACATACATGTATTTACATGTATAACAAGAGGCAAGAGGCAAAATACATATTCATATTTATGGTTGCTACAGAACAATGTTAACATATAATCATATAATTTAGAGAATAATTACAATATTTTAACTAATTTGTTAATGAAAAGTGATAAGTTCTTCATAACGTTAATATTGCAAATTGAAAGCAATTATTAAACAACTACAGAGCACTGTGCGGCCTTCAATTGACAATGAGCAAAATTATACCATAAAGTAAGCTTTTGAAAAGCCCCAGCTGCATTTTTTTCATTTTTGGATGTTTCTTAAATTAGTAATACATTAAATACATTAAGATAAAAATAAATTATATTAAATGCCCCAAAAATGCATAAGCCAGTGACCCTCATAGTCAATCAAGGTCGTCAAACACCCCCATCGTAGTAGTGTTATTTTCTCGCATAACGTACGAGATTTCGGTCATAGAAAGTAAAATGGAAATCTTTGACCATTATCTCCTTTTTCTGAAATTAATCAGCTGAAAGGGTAAACATTAATTAATCTTCTTCATCACAGGCACTTGTCTCTGAATTTTTTTCCCTATATACCTTTCCCCATGATCCCTAGCATACCTTATATTAAGGTATATAGCAAAAAAAAACAGAGATAAGTGCCTGTGTAAATTCATGCAAAGATGGCGTCATATTGCTGCCGTGTATTTTACACGCATTTAGTTCCAATGATTCTGGCTATCGTTTCACATAGGTTCCGAGAGCTCTTTCATGCGAAGGTCTGAAAATGGAGTTCACGCGCACCTGTCAGTGTCAGTTCGTAAATAAACGATTTTGTAAAACACATACTGAAAAAGATACAGTTAAACTCGATATGGTTGACTTCTACTGATGTTCTACCGTTCGTGATCCCTAGCATATCTTTCTACACGCCAAATGGGGTATGATACTAAAATTCTCTTGGCGTTTAATCCCGTATCACGGAACAGGTTAGCCATGGGACAGCCATAACGTTGCCATTCGCCAGTGATGATTTAAATTGACGGAAACTATAGGCACTGCGAGCTAAGCACAGAAAATGACTTCCGCCCCTTGTAAATTCTGTGATTAGATACGTATGGGAAATGCCTTAAAATTCTGATAAAAAAAAAAAAAAAAATATGAGAAACACAATGACATTTCATGGGGGAGATTCGGAGAAAGTTTCATCAATTTATAACATGGTTGTAGGAAGAGAATCAAATAAAAACGCAAACTGTAGTGTAGGGATATGACAGTCCATGTAATGCCAAAATATAACCCAAACTTCTTTCAGACGAAGAATTAAAAAATCAAATTTTGTGAAAGTTTGACAAATTCTGACAAGCTGTTCAGAAGCAGTAGCGGATACAAAACAGAACGACAGGCCAAACAGACGGACACCTCGTCACTATATACTGTCCGCCTAAAATAACTTGTGTACATAATGAAAATTTGAATGAATCTTTTTTAAATACGAGATCACTAAAATGTATAAACCTAAACAACACATAACCTTCACCTTTCTCCTCTTTTCGGTTTAATCCGATGTAATTTCTGTAGACAAGCTGCAATGTTAGCAATAATTTAAATGTCTATTTAGATGCAGTCTGAAGACTCACAATCCACACTGTTTACTCATTACAGATTAAACTTTGTCACTTATTTAGTAATATAAAAAAAGGAGATGAAATCTATGATGAAATCTAAGACAATATTCTTCATTTCAAAATCATTTGTATAATTTTTGATACACTTAATTGCCTTTGAGTTAATATATATTGAAAAGAACAATGTAAGTATTTCGAACAAAATAAATCTCTGGACCATCAGACATCGCTACATTAATGACTTCTTCCAGCGATGGTTTTTGACTTGTGGTAAATGTGAATACAGTTAAATATTGTCTTGTTGGTTGACTGCTGTGCCCTTTGTACGTTTAAACCCAAAGCATTAGCTCATCGTATAGGGTCCACGTGTGACCTATTACAAAGCAAAATTTTGGCAACTATCCATTTTTTCATACCTTTTCATTCACTGTTTCTTCTTTGAATTCATCAAAATTTAAGATTCTACGAATTTCATAAATACCTTATTTGTTCTCGGTCTGAATATGTGAAAAATATATCTGACTTTAAGCAAGCAATATCCAATCAACCAATATTTTTTTACAGTTAAGTATAATGTACCAAATCATTCTTGAAAACAAATACCGATTTAAACGAAAACTAATGGAAATTATGTGTAAACAACATAAAAATCAATATCCAATAATCCCAAATTTACAAATATTCACGTTTCAACTCTGCGATCTATAATTCTGGTGAATTGTAACCTTTTGATTGTCTATATTTAGGGAACGCGGGAACATTATAATGTGACCTATCGATTTAGACTATTTACCGGATTTGTAATTGCATAAGCAACACGATGGGTGCCACATGTGGAGCAGGATCTGCTTACCCTTCCGGAGCACCTGAGATCACCCCCAGTTTTTGGAGGGGTTCGTGTTGCTTAGTCTTTAGTTTTCTATGATGTGTTATCTGTACTTTTATTTGTCTGTTTATCTTTTTATTTTTGGCCATGGCGTTGTCAGTTTGTTTTCGATCTATTAGTTTGACTGTCCCTCTAGTATTTTTCGTCCTTCTTTTATAGATTTGCGGCGTAAATTTAGACTGAAGATCGTCCATTATAGATGGACGGCGTAAAGTATACTAGATGTACTGCTGCGCAGTAAATAAAAGTTACTTTTTCGTAAATGATAAATATCACCTGTGTAAGACAATACAATATTGGTATAGAGTACATGCTTCGACATGAACAAATAATCTTTAACATGAGTTGTTTTACAAAATGCTTTGACGAAAGTTTATACTATTGATTTGGGTATTGTGTTGCAAATAAAGTGATCGACGCATCCTGGTCAGAATGACAAATTGGTCCAACGTCATCATGCATTGATTAAAACAGTCACATTTATAATAAATGTTTTGGACTTAACTGTTCACAGATTGATCCTATGATATAACCGGATTCTAAAAATTAGATTTTACAGGTATAATTTTTATGTTCTTCGCTTTCGAAATTTAGACTTTACAGATATATAGAATTTTTATTTTTATGTTCTTTGCTTCC